ATGTTGGAAATCATTTTCCTTTAGGATCTGGAATACTTACTCCACAATCTTCTTGACTTTATTGTTTGTGCTGAGAAGTCTGCTGTGATTCTGATAGGGTTTCCTTTATAGGTGATTTATCATTTCTCTCTGGCAGCTTTTAATGTTCTATACTTATATTTGATTTCTGGAATGATACTTATTATATATCTGGGTGTAGTTTTATTTTGAATATGGCTATTTGGAGTTGTATATGCTTCACTGATCCTGACGTCAATTTTTTTTCTCATGTTTGGTAAATTTTCAGCTATTACTTCTCTAAGTATCCTCTTGACATCCTTTATGTTGTCTCTTCCTTTTTCATTTATCACTATAAATCTTATGTTGTTTTTATTTTTATAATCTTGCAGCTGTTGAATTATGATTTCCTGACTCCTTGTTATTTTTAAAAGATCTTTCCTGTTCACTAGCTGCAATCTTGTCTTCAAGGTCTGAAAGGTCTTGTCTTCAAGGTCTTCACTTTCACTGAGGCAGTTTTGACAACTTTAAATGGAATTTTTGATTTCCTGCATCTCTTTGCATCTGATTCATATATTCTGTTTGTTTCTTGTACTGTTCACCCAGTAATTCCATGTTTTTTGTTTAGTTCCTCCAATTTTTTAACTGTGTCTTCTTTAGATATGTTCAGTATCTCTTTCATTTCTTTAATCATTTCTTTTTTTACCTGGGAGATTATTTCTAGTTTGAATTCCTTTAAAGCTTCCCATAGTTGCTTCTTTATTTCAGTTGCTATTATTTCAGGTATTTCGGGTGTATGGCATATGTCTTCTTCTATGTACATATCTCATTAGTTTTCTTAGGATGGGCTGGAGACTTAAGATTTATTTTGGTCTTTCCTTTTGTCATTTTCCTGTATTTCCGTGTTTCAAGTGTTATTACAAGGCTTCCCCAGGACCTGTTGGAAATCCTCTTCTATGCTCTCAACTTCTGGGACTCTGGCCAACCAGTTCCCTGGATTGAGAGAAGGTCATTGGGGGTGGGGCAGGCAGGACCAAATCCCTTCTGAGCAGGTTTAGTGAGGCAGGAAGCTGTGAAGCTCCCTGGCAGGCAGCAGGTGGGAGCAACAATCTTAAACTCCCGCCTGGAGCTCGGAGATGTGCAGGGAAACTCATCCCAGGCTGCCCAGTCTCCAGAATTGAGGGCATAGGCAGGCCCAAATTCCCGGGGGTGGCTGAGCACAGCAGAAAGCCTGCAAGTTGGTGCAGGCAGGTCCAAGCCTTGCTGAGCTGGTTCTGTGTGGCAGGAAGCCATTGACTTTCAAATCTGACAAAGAAGTGGTCTGCTACTACTCTATCCTCAGCTCTGATTCTATTTATTTATTTATTGTGCTATTTGTGATTGAACTCTAAGTATTTGCACTCAGCTATATCCCAAGGCTTTTCATTATTTGTAAAATAGTGATAGAGTCTACTACAATAATATGTTGCATGGGATAAAGTCTAACTTCAAATTTTCACATCACAGGCTTTTAGATTACAAGAGTTATAGGCTTGCACAAATATACCCAAGCTTTGTGTTTCTATTATTTAGAGTGAGATGATGAATTTGTAACCACAAGTGGCACTGTGAATCAGTGTGATGGTAGGTATGCATTTTTACATAAAAAGTCTATGGCTGGAGATTCACTTTTGGTGCAGGGACTAAGTGAGAATGCACCTACATTAAAGTACAACTGCATGTGATTGTACACATGTGTGAGTGTGCATGCATATGTATGTCTTTGCATCTATTGTGTGTTTATGTGTGTTTGTTCGACCCTATGTCTGGGGATGTGACTGTGAAACAGTGGTGTGTGTTGATTATAAGAAATCAAATATTTGATTTGTGCATTGAGTTTGAATAATTGAGTTGTAGGAATTAGGAATTATTTGTAGTGAAATAAAAAATTGCATCAGTTCATGTGTTCTATTTATTAACTGACTGTTGAAGAATCCAGTGTGAGTCACAAAATACTCAGCAAAACACAAGCATCAATGACTGTGGAAGTGGCTCAGGGGACTGTTGAACTAAGCAAGGAATATGATCTCATCTCTGGCGGACTCACTCTGAAGTTGTTGGGTCCTACTGCTTTCATTTTTGCACCTCTCGTACTTCCCAAACAAAAGTCACCTCTTCTATTTATACATCTTGTCTCTAAAAATGTACAAAATGAAGAAAGTACATGTTCCTTCAGCACTGTTTTATTTTCTAGCCTTCCAAAAAATCATCTGTAGAACACTGGATTCACATGATTCCTCTTACTGTAAGAGTTTGAAAGATTTTCATTTTTTATTTCTCTTGCCCTGCTTGTAACTTTTCTTTCAGTGGTGCAGATTAGATGTAAGGAGACTAGAAGAGCATTCTGCTATGCAAAGAGGAAAACTCTCAAAGGAGGAGCACAGGCAAGCCACACAGCTGCCTCATTGCTGTCACAGGAGTGTCAGAACTTAGTTTCCTCTGGCTTCCATCTGAGACCCTGTCTTCTCTAGAGTCTGGAAGAAAGGCAGAAACTTCAATGATCTCTTTGGAGATGCTCATGACAAACTCAATTGGTATTTTAGTCATTAACAACTAGAAAAAGTTAGCAATATTCCCAATTATCAAAGTCTCTCTGGTCACTACCAGTAGAGATGAAATGACAATCAAACTTTTGTGTGGGGGTTGAGAACACAGTGCGACAGATCTTTTATTGCAGAGTGGAATCACATATTTGCACCTTGGCTGGAAATGGCTGTGGCAGCGGGTTGTAGTGAGGTGAGTGTTTCCTTTGGGTTGAAGCAAATGGCATGAGAAATACAAGTGTTTCAGAAACTTTAATCCAGGATCATAAAGGAAAATATAGTTTTGGTTTGATAACTGATTCAGGGTAAAACCATAAAGGAATGTTCAGTAGTTTCTCTAGCATGAGTGGAGCCAGTAAGAAGAGATGTATGTCTTAGACATTCCACCTTTCTCACAAATGACTCCAAATTAAACCGGTGTGATCTATCCAGATAGGGGTTGGAAATCTTTAATAAAACTTGTCATTTGAGTATATAAACTTGAGTTCATAAGATACACAAAGCCATGCCCTTATGCAGCTTTTTATTTCAATCATGCATGTGTGAATTTAGACACACAGAACTTACAAATCTCAGCTTGCTGCTAGCATTTTCATTTAATGTGTGCTAATGCATGCATACTTATAAATTTTAAAATTAATACTGGTTTATTTTCTCTTCATCATCCCTATATTTTTGTTTCATAACCATAGTTTGGGAAATGCAATAAGATTGTCCATTGATTCTTTTTTTTTCATTTTCAAGAATGTAGAAACTTATTTAATGACAGTTCCTTGAAATTACACATCTCTAAAAGTACTGCAACAGTGTTACAATAAAACTTTCTGGGGAAAATATTCAGCATAGAAAGTCTCAGATGAGCAGCTGAGAAAGAGAGCTCCTTTGTGCGTATGTGACTTATACTCCTGCTTTGAGCTGGGAGTGGGATGAACTGAAAGAAAACAGTTTTTAAATACAAAATGTATTCACAGTTGACTATAAATGACTAAAGAACAAAGCATCTACATTTTTAGTAGATCTTTTACAATCAAAGTCCTATGTTATAAAATATCAATTAGGTGGTGTGCACTCAAGTTCTTCCATTTATCATTAAATACCTACTCATGAAGATTTTTTTATTTATGCTTTACCACTTACAAATACCTTATATTTTTCTGGAGCATATTTCCACTTTGTTGAAGCAAGAATGCATTAAAGAAACTTTAAATATTTAGTACTGAATACAAGGTGGACTGGATTGATGGCTTATTCAGGCAAAATGCTTTTAAAAAGCTACATTGAAACATGCATGAAGCTGATGTTTAATACTTCAAATGCAAAATTCACTATTAGACTAAATTTCTCATTTCAAGACGTCTTAACACATGTAAATTACATTTTGTTCAGTGATTTTTGCCATAGATAACACTATGTTTTTTTTAGCATAAAGAATAGCAAATCTCTGTTGTGCCATTTTAATACTGTACACGACTTATATGATTGAACAGACCTGGACAGAGCACAGGTCTTAGGTACTACACATCCCTCCACACACTAGCACAGTACTAGGGTCACTGAATCATTGGTCTGTACAGTAAATCACTTGACAAAGTTGAAACCCATTACAAATGAAGTTTGACATACCACATCCTTGATCTGAAATAAAAATAAAACTGTATTTTAATTGAATTATTCAGTGAAAGCAACTCATTGAACTTGTCATATCTGATTACTCATTGAACTTCGTATACCTTACTTTAGCTTAAGTTTCATGTTATTCATAATATTTGCAATAATCACCTCATATCATTAATAATATTTGTAGCAAGTACCACAGAAATATCATTCCCTCCTTTTGAATTTTAAGGTGGATTTGTATTTATTAAGCTTTATTTGATCAAAAGCAATTACTTAGTTGATCAAGATTTTGAATCATTACTAATAAATCTGTTTTATAAAAGATATATTTTCACAAACATATAAACTGTCATCATCAGACCGATTCATTGAGTAGAAATCAAATATAAAACTTACACTCATATTTGGAATATCAAATGGCCGCAATCATATCTTTCTGATACTGTGGGACTGAAATAACTCTATTATTCCTCCCTGACTTACAATTCCAAATCTTGTCTTCGTGGGCATTTACATGTGTGATAGAAGCTCTGTTTAGCTAGGATATCTGTGTAAATTAAAATGTCTTAATTAATGATGTTGTATGAGTGAGTTAGTAGAGGTAAACAATTAGTTATAGGAACCAAATATTGCAAACAGAAACCCTTAACAAAAGAAAATGCACAAGAGAAAGAAATACACCAGGAATGCTACTAAGTAAAACATTTTGAATTTAATTTTCTGAACTCAAAACTTGTGTTTTCTTACAGAATCTGATATTTTGCACCTTTATGTTAAGTCCTGGGCAGTAAGAAATTGACTTTCATGGATTTGAAATTTGGGATAATATTTCTTTTCCTGGTTGTCATTGGAACCATGGGCAATTTCTCACTGTTATGTTATTATATTATCCTCCACTTCAATGGATACAGGTCAAGGTCAACAGATTTGTTTCTCAGACACCTGATTGTGGCCAACTCCTTAGTTATTCTCTCCAGAGGGATCCAAGAGGTCATGGTGGCTCTTGGGAAGGATTACGTCCTCGACAATCTGGGATGTGAGTTTGTTTTTTATCTTCACAGGGTGGGCAGGGGTGTGTCCATTGACTCCACCTGTCTTTTAAGTGTCTTCCAGGCCATCATCATTAGCCCCAGGGACTACATCTGGGCAAAACTGAAACAGAAAGCCGTAAAACTCATGGGCCCTTCTATCATCCTCTGCTGGGTCCTGCACCTGCTGCTAGCTAGTAGAACTTTTGTGCTTATCACTAATAAAGGGAACAAGAAAAACTTCTCAAGAACTATATATTTCCAGCATTGTTCAGTGATGTGTCCTGGCAATGACACAGGCACGGTTTTTGCAGCAGTGACGTTATCCCATGACATTTTGTGTTTAAATCTCATGATATGGGCCAGTGGCTCCATGGTGTTCATTCTTCACAGGCACAAGCAGCGGGTCCACCACATCCACAGACACAGTTCAGGTAAATCTCCTGCTGAGACCAGAGCTTCTCAAAACATCCTTGCTTTGGTGAGCACCTTTGTGTTCTTCTACACCCTGTCTTCTACCCTCCATGTTTGCTTTGCTCTTACTGAGAAAACTGCTTTGTGGCTGTTCATAACTATCCTAATAAGTGCCTGCTTCCCCACCATTAGCCCCTTTATTCTCTTGAGTCGTGAATGCAGGGGAACTAGGCTTACCTGGAAGAAGTGAATTGGTTTCCCAAAACATCCCTTTTGTAGGTTTCCTGCCTTCCATACTCTGAGTTATGGTGTACACGTATTACACAATCTGAATCATTGTTTTGAGCTCATGTTACTGCAGAGAGAAATGTGAATATGAGAAGTAGAGCTACATAGTTATAATTAAAAAACTTTGATAGGAATACTAAATGGAACTTGTTTTACTATTAATTTTGGTGTGATTTTATTTTGCATATTGACATATTTTTGTCTGATTGATTATTTATAACTAAAATGTATTTCACTTCTGTCTTTGCCAATATAATACAATTTTGTTCTATTTTTACTCAAGTCATTTGAGGTATACATCATTCCTTGCAACATATTAACTCTGCTTTATCTCACCAAAATGCTTTCATTTCTCCTTTCACTTTGTGTACTGGTATCCTTGCACTCATCCATTATGTCAAATCAACTTTTTTATATTTTGTGCCATCAATATCATAACTATTTCATTTGAAAACTTATTTTAAAATTTCTTGTCCTATTTTGTATTTATCAACAATCATAAACTATAAATTGTCTTTTATGACTTGATTGATGTATATAGTCTCCAGATTTAAATGTGCTTTGAGACCAGTGAGAATCTATGTAATTTTGAGCAAATCAGTTTTCATGCAAATATGAAACTGTCTGTGGTCACTTCTTAATGCACATGGAAAAAAACCACGTAATTTTGTCAGAGGCAGGAATCATTTTCTGTTGAGTGAGGATGTTTCCTTTGCCTTAACTTTTCCTGAAAATGAAATCTCCTGTAACTATAATTTTATGAAGGCCTGGATAACAACTGTTGTCTTACTCAGATTCTTCAACCTGCAAAATTTGTTACATTGTGAGAAATATGTTGCTTTCCTTCTCTGATGTGACGATGTGATCCATGGATGCTGCCACACACTTGCTACTAAGGGGCCTTAAGAGCAACAACATCAATGTCATGAATGTTCCTGTCACCTACAATATCTGACTCCTGATCCCTGTGCTTTGTTTTGATTTCCTTTTTTTGGATGGAAGAGGATTTAATCTAATATCTATACTTGTGGTGGTGTAGTTGCAAAGAGCTTTGCAAAGAGAAAAACATTAAAGACATTAATTAAAGACATTAATGAATACTTGGATGCAAGAGTAATGTCCTGCATGAGTTCACATGATGATTTAGAGCTCATGACAATGCTTTCTACAAGTCCAAATGGAGGTCAAGAGCCCACAACAATGACTCATGTGAGTGTCTTTTACGGATCTTCACTGAAAAGGCCCAAAGGTCAGTAGTTCAAGCTATAAAGTCTATGCCAGGAGGGTGAAGGAGCTGTGCCAGAAGGTTGAAGGTTCTACAATAGAACCAAGGAGTGACACTCAAAATAAGGACTTGGGCTCCCCTGAAAAGTACCATATCTATTCTCAGTGACAATGAGGTCCTGAGGTCCTTCAACCATGAGAACAGTCGAGTACATCTTAGGAATCCAGATTGACAAGCTTCTTCTAGAAACCAAACAGCATACATCTTTCCCTCTAGAGACAGAAAGTAGTGCTCAGTGTCCCCACCAGAGCTCCCTCAAAGTGAACCACAGCCACTCCCAGTGACAGGGTCCTCTGCTCCTTGGATGATAACAGCTGAGTTCATTTCTGGGAAGCCAGAATGACAAGCTCCTCCACAATAACCAACAGTTCCAAACAATAACACTTAGAAGAACCCATAATGCCACACTCTTCCTCTCCCCATCTCGTTTGATGCTGGCAACTTTCTTTAGGTGCCCATCTACACTCAGCACCATGCTGATATAATTCATCTGGTGGTAAGTAGACCACTCATTTTTAATCAGTAACACATGGTAGTATGTTACTTTTAAAGAACAGTATTTTCAGTCATAGTCCAATAAGTAGTCTCAAGAAATTATCTTGCCTAACTGAATGTTTCTTTCTTTAGTCATTTTCCTCTTACCTCCCTGCTTCCAGCTGGTGTAAAACACTCCTTTTTGTGCTTCTGTGTTAGGCCATTATATAGTCTATGTAAATGTGAGATCACAATGCATTTTTTTGTTTTTGTTCTCAGATGCTTTATTTTACTTAGCATTAGGTCTTCAAGGATATTCCTTGTTTTTAAAAATGGTCATATTTCCTTCCCTTCTATGCCTGAGTATCAGTTATATGTACATTGTATACTTTATGTATCTCTTCATTAATGACATTAATATTGCACCCTTTTCTCTGATTTATGTTGGACAGCAGACATCCAAGAGATTCAATTGCTGGGTCATATAGTATGCATATTTTTGATCCTTTTGAAGTGCACTACTGTTTTTTATGATACTTGTAACAAATGAGACTCTCACCCGTGGCTGTTTTTTTCCTCATCCAAAACTTCAGCAATTTCTGTTTCCTTGTTAACAGCCTTCCTACCAATAGGAAATTCATGTGTTATTGTAGTTTTGTCTTGGATTTTCTCCTTGGTTGTTACTGATGTTGAAAGCCTTTTTCATACACTTCTGGGTAATTTCTGAGTCATAGGAGAATCATGTTTAACTCACTTATAGCCATTGTCTATTTATTATTTTATTGATTAGATTATATTTTTGCAATTATTTATGGGAATATAGTATATTTTTATATTACCCAACACTATGTATTATTATGTTTAATATAATAATAAATAATATAATATTCCATGATATATTAATATAATATGTTGTATATCCAAAATATTTTCTTTCATTTTTTAGAATACCAAGTAATTTTTAACATATCAATTTGAATATATTTAAAAATAATTTAGAAATTCTTCAAATATTTAAGATGATAATTTTTATATCTATGATACTGAAAAAATCAGAATTTTAAAAATACTTCAAAGTCGAAAATTCTAAAAGTTTAAAAAATACACTTACAAATCCCAAAGATCCTTTCTTACACAACACAATATAAATCCACCAGTAAATATGTGCTGATTAATACATGACTCTGAGTAGTGGCCAAGATAAAATTCTACATCAAACAAGAAAAAGGAAATGTACAATCCGTGAACAAGATAGTGGTAACATTTCTACAGCCAGCCAAATATGAATTCTTACTGGGAATATACATGTCTATGTTTCCTAGTTGGTTTTAAGTTAGATTGTTTTGAATTTCACACAGTTGAAACATTGCAAATAAGAATGTGTGTAGGTTAAAATCCAAACTCATGATTCACAGATTTGAGAAAAATTTCCTTAATAAATCAGACTCAGATATGGAATCCCAAACCATGAGAGAGACTAAACTGTAAAACCTTATAAGCAGACATTTTATTGAATGTGATCTTTGCAGTAACTGTAATTTTGAATTTTGATTCTGCACCAAAGAAGAACACAAAGAAGAATGCACTGTGTGCTAGGAAAGTGCTACAAGCCTGAAACATAATCCTTCATAAAATGCTTTGTGAATAAACTCTTGTATTAAATACTGAACAGACATTGGAGAAACTTTTTCATGATGATGCTTGTATAAGAAATTGTTTGAAGTCAGAGGTCTGCAAGTCATACAGGGAAGTTCATTTTCACCTGTGAGAGCAAGAGAAATAAGCCTTCTCTTCTCATGAATAATTTTCAAAGGAACAGAGCTTTGTAAACCACATTGTAAGTCTGGTTTACTCCTTGACATTTTAGCCTTGTATGGTGGTTCTTGTATTTATCTGAGCCTAAATGGCTCTCTGGTTCCTGTCTCTGCTCTTTTCATATTCTGGGGCTCTGATCTTTGTTCCACATGTGCAACCCATGTGACTTAGAGTCAAAAATCCCTGTTTATTACAAAAAGTCTTACAACTTGCTGGGGAGTTTGAAGGAAGTTTATCAATTTCAGATCAGCTCTGTTCTCTATAGAAAGGAAAGAATGTATTACAAGATTCCAGAAAATTTGTTTCCTAAGTAATATTTTCTGGACAAACCTTTAAAATACTTAAGCATTTTTAATGTGCAGACACTAGGCCTCATTTTTACATATGACTGAATTCCCTCCCCCAAAAAAGATAGAAATTAAACTTTAAATTTTGGACCAAAAACTGTATTCTACTGAATTTCTGAAACTAGCCCTAATTTAGATTGATGGATCCTTATTAGTTTGGACAGGAAGAGGTAAGAGCAACATTAAATTATTCCTTTTGTACAGGATAAAATTCCCATTTTTATTCTTCTCAACTCAGGGCTATGAGACTTATCTGTGCAAAACATAAGCTCCTATCAAATGTTCTGTGAAGGAAGGCAATTAAATATTGAGTTTTCATTAGAATTATATACAGTGACATTCTCTGTATGCAGTTTCCTCTGATTTTCCAACATCACCTCCCTGAATAAAGCACTTTGAACAAGGGCCTGGTCTTTTCTCTCCTCCTAGGAGATCACATAGTCAACCTCTCTGAACATCAGTAAACTGAGGAAAAGTAACAATTTAATTATGAGTAAAAGCCCAGTCCAGAGTTATTTACCAAGACGTGGAAAATGTTCTGATAGAGATAAATGAATTGGATTGTTCAAAATACATTTTTTTCATGGAGTCAACATTTCCAATGTTTTCTCTGAAGGTGTGGAAATAGAATGGCATGAGATCATCGAGACCAGTACATGTGATTTGTGGAATACAAACATATTATATGAGTGGTAGTTTCATAACATACGGGACCAATTGTGCACACAATGCAAGTAGAAATAAAATGGTGAATAGAAAACTATTCATCTCATTTAACACGTAAAACAATAAACTATCTATATTGCTAAAGTATCAGAGATGATTACGTTGGTACTATTATTATATCGCTTCTGACCATCTCTCTGGTGATGCCAATGGTTCAGATCAATTCCCTTACTTTTGAGCAGGAAAGGTTGAGCCTTAAAAGGGAATTCTTGTATGACACCAGATTGAAACAGGCATATGTAGTTTTTGGTTCTTCCTTCATAGTGAAAACAGAAAGGCTGTAGATATAGCTCAAGGTGGGAGGGAAAGTGGGAT